TTGCAATAATGTTTACCTTTTGTGGTGGCCTGTGTTAAAAGTAGGAGATATATTGTTTAGAATTAAGAAGGGACTATCGATGGGAATAAGGGACTCTAAACTGGGACTCTCAACTGAAATGTCAACAATTTATTCCCCTCTCAGATTACAGCCACCACCAGAGCTAGTGTGTGTGTGTGTGTGTCTCTGTGTGTGTGTGTCTGTGTGTGTGTGTGTGTGTTTGTTTTGAGATGGAGTTTCACTCTTGTTGCCCAGGCTGGAGTGCAGTGGGACACTCTTGGTTCACCTCCCGGGTTCAGGTGATTCCCCTGCCTGATCCTCCCAACTAACTGAGATTACAGGTGCCCGCCACTATGCCCATCTAATTTTTGTATTTTTATCAGATAAGGGTTTCACCATGTTGGTCAGGCTGGTCTCAAGCTCTTGACCTCAGGTTATCCGCCTGCCTCAACCTCCCAAAGTGCTGGGATTACAGGCGTGAGCCACTGCGCCTGGCCAAGAGCTAGCCTTTGGTTTCCAATTTCACCTCACTCAGATGCATTTTATATGTTGTGCTTTCTCTTTGAGGAAGTGCTGCAGAAAATTTACGATTACTCAAATTTTTGAAACTCAGAAGTCCTGGGGCAGACACAGTTGAAAAGAAAAACATTTAAATAAATCTTTACAGTACTGTTTTAGTTGGATTCTCCACCCCACATCCCAATTTAAAGAAGTCCAAAGTATCTGAAAAACTCTTACACTGTCGTTTTAGTTAGACTTGCTCCCCACTTGTCACTTATAAGAAGATTCAAAGTCCAGATTCCTAAGAAATACTGAAAATGGAATAGAAAACAAAAACATCTGATCTGGAAATAACTGGCAATATAATAATATCCCTTGTTTCTCTTTACAGAGTAAATCAGCTCCAAAAATGTGCTATGGAATATAAAAGCAAGTCCAAATATTACATCAGGCTGTTTAAGTGACTAAATAAGCTCCTAAATGGATATATGAATAAATTTATTTCTTTTGACATAAACAGAATGCACAAGGACCAACTGTTAGACATAGTCTCAGGAGTGATGATGGGAACCTTAGTACGAGTTACATGGTAGACAGCTAGGTATTGATGTCTCCTGAAATACTGAAATGGATTCAATAATGTTAGAAGTTCTAGAGAATTATTCCATAAATGGTTAAAGATCAAAATAGGACCCTGGGGAAAGTGTTCTTTTGCACTTTTTTTTTTTTTT